AGCCGAATGAATTTAAGGTCATCCTCACAGTTGAGCTATGCTTGGTGCAATAAAAAGTTATCAAGGTTCGGTGTGTTGAGACAAATGTATGCAGGCAAAAATGAAATTTTAATAGATTCTCATGGAACAATGTTTAGATTTTTGTAGTTATTTTGTCATCATTTTCGTTTGTACCTGTAGGAAATTTATGGCTGTCATATATCAAGAGCTTAAAGAAAGTTCAAAGAACTATATAGAAAAACAGTCCATAGCAACATGTCGTTTTTATGGTTATAGACAACCTTGATTGAGTTTGTGATGCAAATATACCCACAAATTAAAGCGTCTTTTCCACACACATATCAAAAAGAAAATAGAAATAATCGGGCAGAATTCGTGCTAGTTGAAAATAAAATATAAAAAATTAGTGTAATTTGATATTCTTTTGTGAAAAATGAATACTGGGAAGCTGTTGAGTGTCTTAATTTTTTCCTTTGAGTGCCCTAAAAAATTATGTTTTGACCATTTTACCCTTATTATTATTATTATTTTTTTTTAAAGGACAGGGGCGAGAAAGAAAGGCGCCACCCATTAAAGGATGGTGCCCAATTTTCTCGCCTCCCAATTAAGGGAGGCGAGAAAAAGATTCCTCTCTAAAAAGGGGGTGGCGCACAAATCTGGCACCATCCCCCTTGCTCGCCAAACCGAAATTAATTTTTTTTTAAAATTAATTAATTAATTAATTTAATTAATAAAAAATAATTATAATGGATTATCTTCCAATTTAATACACAGGACTCCAATTGTTATAGAAGCAGAAATTGACTAATTTATTTAGAAAAAAAAGATTTATACATTCTAACCGGTGTCTAAACAACTACATATGGAGTTAATTAAGTATTTTAAGACCTTCATCATATCAAGGTATTTTTTGTTATGGAGTTTGGATTTATGAAATTATAACCTTGGAAAAGATTTATACACTTTTTTAATTTAAGTTTAAAAAATTCTACATAATTAAATGATAAATTTACTACGTAATTAAGCAACATTCTCTAAATATTTAAGTTAAAAATTATTTATATAACCGCCAAATAAATAAATGAATATCCTTAAATAAATAAATTAAAGAATTAATTAAATAAATAAATTTTAAAAAAAGAAATAAATTAAATAATTTTTTTTAAAAAAATAAATTACATAATATTTTTAAAAGAAGGGTGGCGGCCGGACCGCCACCCAATCGGTTTGGCGAGCGGTTTGCTCGCCAAACTGGGGGTGGTGGCACCATTTCCCCCTCCTCCCTTTTAAGGGGCAAAAGAATTCTCGCCTTTTAAGGGGCACCCCCTTTTGATTTGTGCACCACCCCCTTTTAAGGGGCAAAAGAATTCTCGCCACCCCAAGAAGGGTGGCGAGAAAAGTGCACGCCACCCGTGAAGAGTCCTTTTAATGGATGTTAATTTCGGCCCTTAAAGTATTGGGCCAATTGTACAGTAAATTGGAATCTTTTGGAAAGGGATTGCTTTCGATTGTAAGCCCAACTCCTGCGAAGGATTCCATATTTTCATCTCGCCACCCCAGCCGTGAAAGGTTGGCGCAATTATTCCACGCCTTCTCCCTTTTAAAAAAATAATAATAATAAGGGTAAAATAATCTTTTTAAATTTTTTTAAGGCGCTCAAATGAGAAAATTAGAGCGCTCAACAGTTTGACCTAAGGCAAATTTTTAATTATATAATAATTAAAACTTTAAACGATTCTTATCACTGATGACATTGGTTGAAATTCCAATATGTTTCCCCGATACACTGGAGAAGGAGCTGCCAATTCCCTTCAACTGCAAAGCCGCCTCATCTCTATAACTATGGCGAAGAACGAGGTATATGCAGCTTTATCACGAGAAAATGCTACTGAATGTTTGGCCAACGAGTAAGTGCTGATTCCATATGGAAGGCTGGGGATTGGTGTTTAGAAGTTGGGGCGATTTCTTCATAGTTTTCTGTTTTCCTCGTCAAGATCGGAAAAACAGAACTCATCAAACTTTGTGATGGATTGCTGAAGCAGCAAATGTGCTTTGGTTTTGGAGGCAACTTAAAAGTGAAAGTCATTTTTACAAAATATCACTAAAAAGAAAGGGGAGGAAGAGAGAGAGAGAGAGAGAGAGAGAGAGAGAGAGAGAGAGAGAGAGAGAGAGAGAGAGAGAGAGAGAGAGAGAGAGAGAGAGAGAGAGAGAGAGAGAGAGAGAGAGAGAGAGAGAGAGAGAGAGAGAGAGAGAGAGATCGTGCAGAACTTCGGGTCGTTCGGCCAAAAAAATTTGAAAGAACTGGTGTGGACAAATTTTTTTTTTTTTTGTGGATATAAGTAGTTGTCTCGGATTTGGAAATCCGACCCTATCTAATATAATAAAAAATTAATTTTTTTTTATATATCAGAAATGATGGAAAATAGGGTCAAAAGGGAAATAGTGCTTTCGGATTTCTCAAATCTGAATGCATTTAATATCAAAATAATACAACAATAGTGGCGGGCAAATTCAAAAACTGGAACAACACCTTCGGATTTGGCGAATCTGATGTCAACCAACTATAATATTAAAATAATACAACAGAAGTGGCGGGCTAATTCAAAAACTGGAGCAGTACCTTCGGATTTGTGAAATCCGAGTTCATCCAACTATAATATTAAAATAATACAACATGAGTGGCGGGCAAAGTAAAAATTGGAACAGTGCCTTCGGATTTGGCGAATCCGAATGCTAGGGTTTAGGGTTTCCTCTCGAATTGGCCAAATCCGAATGCATCCATTCAGTGTAATGGTAATCCGTCGTTGTGGATAAGGTTGTTGGGTATTAAATCGGATCGGATAAGATGACGGCCTTTCAGATTTGCAAAATGCGAGAGCCTCCCATAATAGTGACTCTCGGATTTGGCAAATCCGAAACTACGGGACTATAAAAAGAAAAACTTATAGCTTCCCATCAGATCGGAGTTTTCAATTTTGGAGGGTTAGGGAAGGTTGTGACCGGAGTTCTTCAGGATTTTGGACGCACATTACCGCTAATTCGTGTGGAATCGTTATTCTAACTAGGTTAGTCATTAAATACATTTTTTTGTTGTTGTGTATTTATGTTTTTTTGAAGATGGAAGATTGGTAGGGCTTAGGATTGATGATTGTGAATGTAATACGATAATGTAGATGTTGTTGTTGAGTTTATAGGCTAGAATTGTTGTTGTTTTAAAAATTGATAGAGGTTAATTTGATTAATATGGATGGATTTTGTTTGTATGAATAATTGATAGAATTAAGAGATAATTTGTATGGATAATTTTATGAGAAAGGAGTTGTTGTTTGTTTTTTTTTTAAGGTGAGAATTGTTGTTGTTGTATACTTTTTTTTTTTAATTTTTTAAGGTGAGAATTGTTGTTTTTTTTTTAGTTGAGAATTGTTTTTTTTTTTAGGTGAGATTACGAATAATATAGTTAACGATTTTTTTTTTGTCCCTTCATAAAAAGTTAAAATGTCCGCATATGGGCCATACATACTTAATTTGTTTCATAGAAGCAACTATATGATAGAGAATGGTGTAGTGAACACATTCGAGAACAAGCCGGACGACACTCTTGTTATTGATAGTAGGTTGTCATATGATGAGTTGCTTGGTTTGATTTGTGTGGCGTTCGGTTGGAATCTTGAAATAGCTAGAAAACTCTACATTTCGTTAATCTTTGTGACTCACGGCTAGTAAATACGACAAACGTGATATAACCGGTTGTGGATATCTTCTACAGGTATAAACCTTTAATTAATACGTGTGAATTCAATTTTTGACTATTTTTACCCGTTTAAATTAATACTATTTATGTTGTCACTTTGTTGATTTAGGTTTGAGCATATGAGCGGATTCAAAAAATCGAGCCCGAAAGATTATTAAAGAATTTTGAAGAGGATCCTACCGCTCCTTTAGCTCACCGGTGAGTTTTTTTTATTTACACCAACTAGTATTAAGATTACTAATAATATTTTTTTTCCAAAAATAACACTTTTGAATTTTTTGTATTGAAAGATGGAATTGCAACTACTCCTACAAGGACGTCCCAAGGACTAGTCTCCTAGGTTTTAGAGATCAATTGACCGTCTTATGTGCAACCTACGTAAGCATGAATAAATTTATTTTTTTTTTATTTTTCTTTTTTCTATTTTTGACCAGCATTTTTTTGTGAGTTAATTCGTTACTTTCCAATGTTTTCACAGTTTCTTTAGCAACCCTGTGAGGATCTCCTTCTATCCCTCCCTGATTGTTATAAACAAGGTAGTAGGATTTGGATGACAAGGTCGTGGATGATCTATTGGGTAATCCAAGAACCCCACGAAGTTGACAGGATCGTGAGACAGTTTGGCTATATTCAACAAGTGCCCGGAACTCCTATAATTGTTGATATCGTCGCGAATAAGGAGGCTCACGAGCACAACATGTCAGGGCTAACCTATAAAAACTGGGTGGATCACCATCGCAATTCACAACCTCATTGGAATAGGAGAATCCGTCACATTCCTAGGAATTTGGTGGAAGGAGAGCCCGACCAAACTTCGGACGACTACGACGAGTGGTTCAACAATAATTCGGTGAATTTGATATCCGATCTGAAAAATTACACACCGGTGGGATATGAGTCTTCCTCGACCCGGGTGAAAGTATATATAAGTGTTTATTATTTACAATTAATAGTTTCTTTTAATCTATTTCTCCAGGCTGAAGTGCTGAACGATATCCGCGTTAAGGCCATGACATTCCGAAAAGACCGTCGTGACGCCAATGACCTAGACATCGACCTCGAAAAGGTGTTCGATGAGATCGTGGATCAAACTCACGCGGTCTTAACTCTTGGCAAAGATGATAAGATGGATATTGACGATAGCCAAATCCTCAAGGATTTTCAACCTTCTCGACCTAAACCACCTCCCCGGGCTGAAAAAATGAAACCGTGGCCGAAAGACAAAATTAGGGGAAGAAGAAAGTGAAAGATGGAAAATCCATTCGGGCCTTCTCAATCGCATGATCACGCGGAAAGTTCGAGCCACCCCGAGCAAGAGAATGTGGGAGGAGGGGAGGATGTGGGAGGAGAGGATGTGAGAGGAGGGAAGGATGGTGGAAGAGAGGATGTGGGAGGAGGGGAGGATGTTGGAAGAGAGAATGTGCGAGGAGGGGAGGATGTTAGTTCTTCTCTCGGATCTCACTCCCTACACGAAGAAGATCCACTCTTCACCATTACACTAGGAGACCCCTTGCAAGTTCTAAACGTGGTGCCACTTGAGACTATTAGGCCACAACCGGAGGAACCAATTGTTCGCAAATCCGACAGGTCGCGCCACGCGGCACTTAAATACACCCCGCCAACTATTCCTAAAAGAGGAAAAAAAAATAATATAGATTAGTATTTTTTAGGTTTTTGGATGATTTTCTATGAATTTTAGAATATTTTCCATTTGAATGCTATGAGAATGTTGTTGTTCTGTTATTGATTCTTTTTTCTGCCGTATTGTGGTGTTGGTGCTGTTTAAACAGATTTAGGTCTGGTAAATACCAGTCTAATATTTTTTTTGCCATTATATAGTAACCCTCAGATTTACCAAATCCGAGACTTACCATTTTGTACACTCCTCGAATTTGCAAAATCCGAGAGTCGCTGCAGAAAAATGCATCCGGGAGTGGACAATTTCAGAGAAACAAGGGAGACTCGGATTGGACATTCTCTCAGATTTGCGTAATCCGATAGTCTTCCACCTGATTCATTTTCCGAAAAATAAAACATATTTTATTTCGGAAATTTGGATTATGGTAATCCGAAAGTACAGTCTCGGATTAGCCTAGTCCGTTTATAGTCAACTTTAATTTTCAAATACTTTGATTTTTTTTGTTAAAAACTAAATTATTTTTTTATTGTAGACCTTCGAATTATGTAAATCCGAGACATGATTAATTTTAATTAATCCTTTGGTTAAATTTAAATATTTTTTGATTAATATTGTTTCGGATAACGCTTATCCGAGGCTAAGCTCTCTCGGATTTGACAAATCCGAATGCTCAGTTGTTTCGAATTTACTAAATTCGGGACAACTACTTATGTTCACCCAGTTTTCGTTTGTTTTATTTTTGTTTACCTTTTTCCTTGGATAATTTTTTGGGTAAAAAACTCGCAGAACTTGTGTCATTTGAAAATTAAACAGATCTTCTCTTTATCCAAGTCTTACTCTTACTGTATGTCGCAACGTCCCGTAAATTGCCTCTGCTAGAACAGGCAAACATGAACCAATGGTTGAAAGCATATCTAATAAGGCTATAAATAATGCAGTGTTCTAAATATTCACCTCTCAATTGGGCTGCTTTCCTTACTATACTAGTTGCGTCTGCCGTACTGAGTCATTTCCACAATCAGAAAGACCGTCGACATGACTTGTTAGTTCCTATGTAATTTCGCCTCGTTATGAAAATGGACTGTGCTAGAGGAGTGAATCAAATATTATTTTCCTTCTTAGATCTAAGCAGCCTTTGGTAGGGAAGAGCTTTTCTTGTCCACTGAGATGCTTGTAGCTCCTTCCAATCTGCCATCGTCTACTTTTTCATTGAAATGATCTCGGAGAAACTCCACGGCCATGAAAGTCAGAGCAGAGGCTGGAACGTACCATATAATTCTAGGAATACTGCCCCTGAACATACCCCTCATCCCTTCATCTGACCATGTCTTCTGAATTACGTCAAACCAGCCATTGTACCTGGAAGCATAACAATAATGGAAACATACTGTGATTATCATCTATTTTACAATCAGGGTACACGTTGTACAGTAAGAGAGCAATAAAAACATACAGACAAGACTGACAAGTGCAGTAAATCACTGCAAATTATAACCACCTACATTCAACTGACAATCAGCGATCTTAACTACCACCATCCCCACCATCATACCATCACAAGTTTCATGGTAGCAGTAGCACAGATAAATGAATATCAACAATTTTTTCAGCCCACTATTTGCGTTTCTAGGCACATTTAGAATGAAGCCGTCTATTCAGCAGTGGAAAAAGCAAATAAAACAGCATCAAAATATTGCCAGTGAGCTAGAACGATACCTTAAGGTTTTTCCTTGTACTTGCAACCTCGTTTTGACAACATCCAGCGGAGTTGTCAGGTATGCACTTAGACCTATAAAATACCCGCAAGAAAATAAGACACTACCATGAGCCACAACTCACAAAGTCACAATAAGGACATTAATATCAGATAGAGACAAACCGCCGGCTAGTCCTCCTAATATGAGGCCCTCAAGAGTGCTATTCATGGAGAGATTTGAATTCGGAAACAATCTTTGTAATCCATGTTCTGTCACATTTTTAAAAGCCTCGTAGAACGTGACCTGAAAATTGTGAGAGATTTAGACAACAATATAAAGTGATCAAACAGAGAGGAATGAGATTAAATAAGCACAATCATTTAACAAATGTGCAAGTGTTTGGTTCTTTGCCAACATAAATACTAAATTCTAAATCCATAACCTCAGAAACTCATAAAAGAAGATTAAGTGCATGTCGCGCCACACTTCTAAGGCAAAGTAGAAAAATATTGTTTGGAAGAAGACACCAATTATGATCCTCAGAAGAATTAGATGAGAAAATTATTATTTTAAGTTTAGACATCAATAAACTAGGATCCTCAGAAAAGAAATGCTGGATCAGATAAGAAAAAAGAGAAAATAAAAATAACAGAGAAAATAATAAATGGGCATCCGCAAAGAGGTCCAACTTCCAAAGTAACAAAATGACAGAAACACCAGAAGAAGATCCAAAGAATCCACTCCCTTTCCCTCTAACCTAAAGTATCCACTCATAAATGGAACTGCAAGAAGCCACAAAAGGAAATTATCTGAAAATGATAAGTACCATTAAACCAGCGAATGGCACATCCCTTGCTAGTGTTGACCAATACCTGTCCCAAAAATATGACACGAAACATTGATCAAAGAAATAAAACAACATTGTAGGAAATGATAATGTTGCACTCCAACTGAAAATAAACAGAAGCTAAATTGTTTACAAAGTGAATAAAAGAGATCCAACAATACTACTAAGGTGCTTTCCAACTCCGAAAACACATTTGTGCTACTTTTAGTACATTGAACCCATAAAATGAGGGAGCGTGAATATAATGAAGAAAAATCTATTACAAAGAGAACAAAAGGTGAGACATGAACATGATGGACTATTATACATGCGACATTCACAATTTTCCATAAATGCAGAAAAACTGTGCAATCTTCATGAGTCTTTCTGAGTACAAAAGTAACTACTATATAAAGTCCCATATGAGACAGCTGTTAAACACTCTCAGTAGTATAGGTCAGTCTAGTGACAATATTATAAAATAGTGGCACTTTCAGTCAAAATCAAATATAAAATCAAATGTTATGCCTCTCAGTTCTTATCAGTATTTGATCACCTAACTGATGAAAGCATTGAAAAAGAAGTTTGACAACAAAAAACATACCCAGCATATAAGCCCTTTGGTCCTTGCTCCTTCCATATTGAACAACCAGCCTGAAAAAGTCCTGAATAGTAACCATACACTGGGCTACCAAGTTTTCCACGAGCACTGTCTTTCATCACAACCGAAGTCCAGTAATTCCTTGTTCCTTGAATCTGCATCCTTTGCTTCACCACCTCACATGGTACATATACGACAGAGCCTAGAGTATCCCCTGCAGCATAATCAAGAAAAAGCCAAATAATTGAAATATTAATTACTGCAATACTTCAACAAACACCACCATAACAATCCAAAAGAAAAAGTCCATACCAATAGCACCAGCAATAAAGTGTGCCCAATGACCACTTAAGTTAGGATGGTTCTTTTCCAACCAGTTCTTGGTAGATTCTATAACTCCAAAATAAGTAGCACCAGTCGCAAGAGATCCAGTTATCCCTGGAGTGATTCCTCTGTAGAAAGCTGATAAAGAAATTATTTAAACTACAGAACAAACAAACAATTTCCACACAATTGGTACAGAAAAGCCTATATCAATCCAGTTAACAAACTACTTCTAATTAAGAAAATTAAAAGTATATCAAAAGAGGGACAAACAAAAAACGATAAAGCATTAAGAAAAAAAGAACTCTACCAGCTAAACCATCAGCCTTCCAAACAGTTTGAACCATCTGCAGTATATTCTTTTGGTTCTGAAAAATAACAACATTTGCAACAAAATAAGAAAAAAGCAACAAGGAAAAAACATAAATCCAGGATATTACTTCCAAATAAAAGAATCAAAGAACACTACCTGGCATCCACTTAGAATAGCTTGGCTCTGAATCCGGGTCTTAATTGTATCAACTGGATGCATAACACCTTCCCCAAACGCACCCGCAATTGCACCCCATAGAAATTCCTTTCCTACTGCAAACATCAAATTTCAAAAAGGGCCAAAAAAAATCAATTTCTTCCCATTATAACTTGCAAAACTTCTTTGAAACTATGAACAATTGGAACCTGAAGAAAACTAGGAACCAAAAGAGGGAGATGGGTTTACCAAAGAAAGGAGAGTGAGGAGAAGATATATCAGATCGAATTGCCGAAAGGGTTAGTGACGGATTGTTCGCATTGTCGTTACTTTTTGAAGATTGATTGGAAACCGCCATGGCTGAATCAAAAGTGAGCTCTCAGAAAAGAAGAGCAAAATTAAAAGAGAGGGTTTTTGAAGGGGTTTTTAATCAGGCGGAAAATGAAGCACACGAGACACGTGGCGTGTGTTTAGTGGCTGATGGGCCCCCCCATGGATTGAGGAGAAAGAAAACTCGAACTTCAACACGCTTTCTTATGATAACTCGTTGAAAATTGCCAGCGCCTTTAACTTCAAAGCTGAAAGCACAACGTACAACCCTCCATTGCAAACGACATCGTTCTCTGAGAATAAAACTCACACTATTTCTTTTTAGTATATTTTCTCCGCCCTGCATTTTTATCATTTTTGAGAGCTTCGCTGCCATTTTCGGGGTAAACGGGAAGAACCCTAGCTTGTTTTCAACTGCGGAAAGATTCAGCGTTTATAGCTCAAGATTTTGAAGATCTGATACGGAAATCTGATCAGAAATGGCGATGGCTGCGTTGAGGCGCGAGGGCAAGCGATTTGCCGCCCCTCTCATTTCCCCAATCCGATCCTCGCTTGCCCCTACCGAGTAATTAATCCTTCCTCTTCTGTTACTTTTTGTATCAATGTGTGATTGGAATCATCTATCCATGCTTTGCATTCTGTGGATTTATCTGGTGTTGGATAATGAAGATTCGTTTTTGGTTTGTATTTTTAGGCTTTTAGTTATCAGCAGGGGTGGAATGAGGTGTTTTTTTTATATTCTTTTGGGTTTCTTGGGTCATGAACTGTAGTTAGTTTTGTGGTATTATTTGTTTTGGATTAAAACTGGAATGAGTGTGCTGCTGAGTAGTGTGGCAGGCACTGACTGGGGATCTAGTAATTTCCCATTTTACTTACCTGGTGGTTTGTTTGAATGAGTCTGGTTTTGTTCTGCTGCTTAGGTGCTTATTGGGTTCGGGTATTTGTTTTCTAGTGGTATTTGGTCTTTAATAGAAGTCATTCTTTAATTGATAAGAGAGAAGTTGGGATATATGCTAACAAAGCTGCTGTTATGTGATAAATTTTTGGATTAACATAGGATGACCACATTGTTTTTAAGACCCTTTGGTTCTTGGTCCGCGGAACCTTTTGAATTTACAGATTGGTAGGTTTCGAGGCCCTTTGGTGCATGTTATCCTAATGGTGCATCTTTTTTCATTTCAAAGGGACAATCTTTTTGTTTCATTTTGGAGGATTTTGGAATATGGAATGTTGAATTTACATTTGAAATATGTTTTTCAATTATGCCTTTTCTTTGCTAAGAAAATACGGTTTTTGCAGGGAGCAAGCTGTTCTTGGAGCGCGTAATATCTCTACTCAAGTCGGTAAGGATTTTTCCTATTCTCGCTGCTCCATTTGATAATTACAATAGGGTTAAGAAATTCGATATTTCTGTATAATTATTACTGTTGCGAGGGCTATTTTTTGGTGTTGTAAATATGCTTTTCTCTACAGTTCGGAACCGCATGAAGAGTGTTAAGAATATCCAAAAGATTACCAAGGCTATGAAGATGGTTGCAGCTTCAAAACTGAGAGCTATTCAGACTAGAGCTGAAAATTCTCGTGGATTATGGCAACCATTCACTGCTCTCCTTGGTGATATGCCAAGTAAGTCCTCCCAGAATATTTTCAGTTCCGAAAAAAAAAATGGATATAAGGATGTTTGGGCATTTCCATATGACTTTTTTCTGTTTGTTATTCTGACTGATCATTGCTTCACTGCTGTTGGCTTGTGGATGAAGACTTTGTAGCTATTAATTTTATCTTGATTTATTTACGTTATTTTAGGGTTTTTATATTTATACATTTTACATATTAGTTTGATGATGATGCATCTCTGTCTGTATGTTTATTATATCCTTTTCATGTAGATGTCCCAAGGACATGAGAGAAAAGCAAGCAGGGGATTCTGTTGTATACCTGATTATTTTGTTTGATAATTGAAGAATAATTGAAAAATATTCATTTTGACTATTTTTTATCGCCTGAAGTTGCTGATCTTGGTCTTACTGTTAACCTCTGTCTCACCTTCCTTTTTCTTCCAGGTGTTGATGTCAAGAAGAATGTTATTGTTACCATATCTTCTGATAAAGGACTTTGTGGTGGGATTAATTCCACGTCTGTCAAGATAAGCAGGGCCCTTTACAAGTTGAATTCTGGTTTGTATTTACTGGTTTCATAATTGTTTCGGGAATTTAGCTTTCTTTTATTCTCTAATATTTGATTAACCTGACAGGACCTGAAAAGGAATCCAAGTATGTCATTGTTGGAGAGAAGGCCAAGGCACAGCTGATTAGGGACTCCAAGAAAATGATCGATATCTCCTTTACTGAGCTGCAGAAAAATCCTCTCAACTTCACCCAGGTTAGTTTGTTTACTCAATCTGCATGAAATTTTGTCTGCCTGTTATCCAGATGTCTTTTTGAATTGAAAGCTGAATGTATATTCAGTTCACACGTTTGAAAGCCAGTTCATACTGGTCCCTATTTCCTGACTTTAAGTTATGTATATTTGAATAAATGCAGAAAGAATCTGATTAGCTTTTGTCGCTCTTATTTATGCCCAAATTTTAGTCAGAACTAGTTTAAGAGTTCATTTCTTCTTCTTCTTCTTCTTCTTCTTCTTCTTCTTCTTCTTCTTCTTTTTTTTTTTTTTTTTGGTTCTTTATTCTCAGAGATTGTTTCAGCCAAAAATAGTTCAAATCAATGTTTGTGTCTAGTCCTCCTAAACGTGAGGGAAGGGTAGAATCATTTGTTGAGAAAGTTTGGTAATAAATTTTTTAGTTATACTTCTTTGAAAGGATTCTGTTATCTTAATTTGTACCGTCTCCTTTTTAGGATGCTGAAAAAAGATATAAGATTGACATTGATATATGTTTTCCTGTTTCCTTGTTTATTAACTTTGTTAATGTTTTGCATTTCAGGTTTCTGTGCTTGCAGATGACATCCTGAAAAATGTAGAGTTTGATGCACTAAGAATTGTTTTCAACAAATTCCAGTCTGTTGTCTCCTTTATCCCGACTACAGCCACGGTTTTATCGCCCGAGGTATAAGTTACGACATCCACATTGATTAGTAGAAGTTATACACTGTGATTACTCATTAATGTTTTATCATAGATTGTTGAGAGAGAAGCTGAGGCTGGGGGAAAGCTTGGGGAGTTGGACTTGTATGAAATTGAAGGTGCTGAGACAAAGGGAGAAGTGCTCCAGAATCTTGCTGAATTCCAGTTCGCCTGTGTATGTGCTTTACTGTTTTATTACATTTGTTTCTCTATTGAGATTAACCACTAGAGTAAATAATTCTGAACGACGTTCTTGTCGTTTATGAGCTTGGTACATCTGGAATGTATGATTGAGATGCCGGATTTCTACTAAGCTCTATTGATGCCATGGTAGATGCCCCAAGTATCTATTTTTTGCAATGGAATTTAGTTCATTCGTTGCAATCTTGCACTGTATTTCCAGATTATAGTTACTGATATTGCCACTTGAACTTTTCTTTATCAGACAATGTTCAATGCGGTTTTGGAGAATGCTTGCAGTGAGCAAGGAGCAAGGATGTCTGCCATGGATAGTTCCAGCAGGAATGCTGGTGAAATGCTTGACCGCCTCACCTTGACTTATAACAGGTTTTTTTCTTTCATACATAAAATATTTATAAATGCAGCATTTAGGCACTCAATCAATTGTTGTCATGACACAATTGTATATCTGAATGTGTTGACATTATAGACACTTTTAGTTGGTGCTGACTGCTGATAATTATCTTCAACGGGGTGATGTATTAGACACTTTTAGTTGTTGCCATGATTCGGATCACACACTCTTGGATGTATTTACATTACTGTCTATCCATATAGTGCTGGATCTTCTTCATCCTTGTTTATATGTGCCTAATTTGTAAACATGAAGATATTGAGGGCATTCTTGGGGCCGTAGTTGTGATTATAAAGGAATTGTATTTGAACATCAAGTGGGTGAATTTTCACTACACCATGTGAAACTACATTTCACTCCTTTTCATCTGTAAACTCTTATCCCTGTTCCCATAATGTGTATTCCTCGTAGGATTAGAATATGCATGCATTTCAGTTCTAGGTTTAGATAAAGTACTAGTTTTAGTTAGTATATAAATTGCACGTGTGGCAATCTTCTTCATTTTCATAAATAATAAATACTTGAAAGACACGTGTTAAGGACAAGATTGGTTGCTTTCACTAGTTGTTATGTTTAGCGTGCTATCTTTTCGTGTTAATCCCGACTTTTCTCCTTTCCTTCAGAACCCGTCAAGCATCCATCACCACAGAACTCATTGAGATTATATCTGGAGCTTCAGCACTGGAAGGCTAAGTGCCGAATGAATTTGCTCTGTTTTTTCCTGACGGTGACGAAATAAAAGTTGTCAACTTTCATCTGCTCCTGCTGACTATAGATTTTGAAGTTTTGGGTTTAATACTTTCAAATAATCCCCAGGTTTAAATTTATATATGGGAAATCTCTTGCTTGAGTTATTAACTTGTACAATGCTTGTCTTTCTATGTCATGCCTTTAACATTTCTTTTTTTGTATGTTACAGCAGTCATTGGTTCTATCCCAGATTCTTTTTTGTTTGAATTTGGCTGTTTTCTTTGTCCAAGTAAGAGCTATTTTAGCTACCGAATCTGAATGAAGCTAATTCCGCCATACTTTTATTCTGTCACTTCTAAACCTAGTGAACTGTTGCCTCCAGCCTCACGAGTGAACGGGCTTTTCAATGATCCGATAATGGCGAAAAAAACATCTAGTGTTTCTCTAGTAGTTGTTCTTTGGCTTACCTAGTGTTCATAGTACAATGCATCTTTGATATAGGCAGATTACTTCATTTTGAGCTTTTGTTGTCTATGCCTCTATTGCAGTAGAAGCTGAGATACCGTACCAGTAAAATGGAATGAATAACTTGAGGATTTTTTTTCTCAATGAAATTTTGAATTGACTTGCGGTACTATGAAAACAGTGCAATTTGTTCCAGCAGTAGATTGCAAAGCAAAAGCATAGTGTTTTCTGCTTCGCAATACTCTTTTTTCTTTCAAGTGATGTTGAGCTCAATTTGTTCTTATTGCTTTGATTCTTATCTTACATGAATCCTCCGTGCATGAAGCCATGAACCTGCACTTTTGCTACTCGGCCAATTGCCTTCCTGAACCCTTGAATGAGACAAACCTTATCCTCGATCTCGTTTCCTCCCTCTTCAGCCTTTAATTTCTTGACAATTGCTTTTTTTCCAGCTCTTGCTACATCTCCCTCTTCAGCCTTTACTTTCTTCTCAATCTTGCCCACTTTGTTTTCGACCTCTTGGTAAGCAACCGATCAATGAACTCCACTTCACAATCCGTGTCGACGGTGTTCACTGCAGAAGCCGGCTTGGTTTCCGCATTGTTAAAGGAAAACTTCTTCCAACCGTGACTGATTGTTATGGTATCTCTAGTAGTCAAACACGAGTATTCCTTGAGAGTATCCTCCAAAAGCTTTTTGATCAGGGAGCCTAACAAAATCAGCGGAATGAGGTTGAAGCTTTATGTCGGTTCCTTTAGGAAGAATAACATCCTTGAAAAAAACTATGTCTCCTTCTTGTAGTTCCATCTGGTTCATTATCCATCGAGGCATGTGGACGAAACCCTCATCCGCCGTGAACTCGGATTCTCCACAGTGAGTGATTTGGCCGCCAACAGAACCGTTGTCGGCGTAGAAGCCATCATGGCGTGGGTTCTGAACTGAAAACATCATGGGATAGTCGACCTCTAAATACAACAAGCAATCTAAAGCTGAGGGGGGCATTATAACTTCGTTGCTGTTTTCGAGTTGTTCTCGTTTGTCGGTTGCAGGGAAAGGTTAGCAGCCGTAGTACTGAAGGAATTGATAACCATTGTCATGTTCCCATGGTTTCATCAAGTTTTCCTTCAAGGTGTCAAAAATTCAATGAGGAATTCGTGGAGGGCTACGCTTGTAGAGTTCCTCCACAATTCTTGGAAAACAACAAAGGGTACTTATAAATACATACCATAATAGGAGAGACAGTTATCATGTTTTGCCAATTTTTTTCAATTTAATTCTGGGGATTTTCTTACATAGAACCTATCTAAATTATTTTTCTATTGATTAATAACCTCCATGAAAATATTTATTCTCTATTGTTTCTATTTCATTAAAAACATTATAATAATGTAATAGGGTTGAAACTGACATTTCATGAAGTGAAAATAATACATTGTTATAACTTTTTATTAATTATATTGAATTTTTTAAAATTAATAATTTATTCATTTATCGACAATAAATTAATAAATTTTTAAGGTCCAAGTGTATTAAGTTTCACTCTAACAAGAGTTCTTTTTCTTCTTGGATATGAATTATATTTTGAGTCAGCTAGGGTTTGATCAAATCTTTCTATATAAGCTTTTGATCTCTCCAAGAAGCAAAACCATAGTTTCTTGCAAAAAAAAAAAAGATTTAGATTCGGCAAAGTGGTTTGATTTCCTGAAGAATCCAGAACTAATAATGGTTCAAGGAAGTGTTGTTCCATCTCCTAAAACAGGACTAGGCAAATCTACTGTTGATCCATTGGTCCCAGAAACCGAGGACAAAACAGAACAAGCAAAAAGCCAGGTGAAGGGATTGAAGTTGCTGCGATTTTGGCTTAAAAAAGACATAAAACAGAAGCAGCTCCAGTAAGAAGAGGTGATCACAGAAACTGAGAAGCGGATAGCTGATTACATCTTCGGCGAAAATTGTCCCAAAAACCCATTGGAGCAACAAGTTTATAAACACGAAGGATTTCCCAACTGTGACAGAGCTTGTTTCAGGGGAATGCAACCAGGCAGTTGGATCAATTGCGCAGTTATTAACGCTTGGAGTGTGAGAATGAATCAACACAATCGGAAGAAAAACAACTCCAATAAGACACCACGAGACTGCATCTACTTTTCAACACTCCCTTATCGTTTTTACTCTGAAGCTGCAGCAGACGAAACCCTCGATGAGAGACAGACCAATTTCAACACAAGAGTTAACAGGGAGCTAAGGCTGAATTCTATAAAGAGGAGCTTAATTTCAAGTCCAGGATCATTGATATTCTTCCCAGTACGCCATGCCAACCATTCCTTCGTCGTATGCATTAACAACAGGAGGAACACTATAGACGTGATTAACAACGGGACGCGTACGTATGTCCAGCCTGTCGAAAATCTAAAAACAGCTTTTTATTCATACTTGAAGAACAAGAAGAACAAAATAAAAATCCACCGGGATGAAAATGAAGTTAAAACCCGGTTCCTGAAATTGAAATGGCAGGATAATTCCAACCGTAACGACTGTGCTGTGTATACCATGAGGCACATGGAAACATATCAGGGCCATTCAGCTGGATGGGATCCGGGATTCACTGGTGTTACAAATCAGGATCAGCAGATGTTGAACTTATTGAGAATTAAGTATCTTGCAGAAATTCTCTCGTCCCGTGAGATTAACAGTTATGCTGACAAATTCATGGAGAGGGTGCAGGACGCAAATAATATGCAGCACCTAGGAACTCTAAGCGGGCGCCAGCGCTGGCGGGCTCACTGTTGCGTGCTTTTTCTCCATGTGTTTGTTTGTTTGTTTGTTTCTTGCAAATTGGGAGGCCTTAGTTTGTTTCCGCTGTGCTCAAGCTAGCTCGTGTTTGATTAGCTAGTTTGGTTTGCCATATTTGGTCCTCGCCTCCCAACAGTTTGTTTATTATTTTGGAAAAACTATCATTAAACGCATGAGAAATATTATACTTTTTCTATCCTGAAAAAATAATTCAGTTTGAGTGGAAAATAATTATACTCCTTATGTCACACAAAAAAAAAGTCCAGTTTTAAGTTTTGAAATTTGTACTATTTTTATTACAAATCTTAAAATCCAACGTGGATTATTTTTCTGGGACGAGTGAATAATTATTATGAAAACATTATTTATTTTTTTGTCAATATTAAAATACCTTTAATATATTTTTACTTCTTTTTCTTTTCCCCCAAGAATGAGAGGTTTATATACTTTTGGGGAAATACCTCATTTGAGTCAAGTGATCTAGATCTTTACACGCTACATCAAGTAAGTCATTCGGGAAAGAAATCTTTCCAGCAACAAGGCTGATTTGCCTCCAAAATATTCTAGGACTACTTCTATTACAATGTCTATGTCCGAAAGAGTAAGTCAAGAAATAAAACTAGTTTCCAAGGAGGAAGATGTCATCGACTATGGTTAAAGTTTCGAGAAATGGACATGTCTTTGAGTTAAGATTGTCCACCATAATCTTGACATCTAACTCGATTACATTTTTACTCCACAGATTCATTTGATCAAAGATTAATGCAACTCTTACCGAATCTAGATCAGCTACCACTGGATTTTGAAAAGAATCCCTGGCAACCTCCCAAACTTGTAAGAGATACCTTCACTATCTCTAGCTAAAAAAAAAATAAAAATAAAAATATTCGATATGTTCTTAACCCGAAATTTTCCAGGGAACAAATTGAGCAGATTGACAGGAACAAGGAATGGTCTAAGGCTGTTGGTACATCACATTATCTCCCTGGAATGGTGGGACTGATTTCGTCAATGTAATTATCAGTCCCTGATGCGAGTTACTCCTCTGAGGAACTTTTTCCTTGTCCCTGAAAACTATCAGCACTGCGAATCTCGGCTTCTTCATCGGTTTGGAGAGCTTGCGCGGAAGATTTGGAACCCGCAGAACTTCAAGAAACATGTTGGTCCTCATGAGTTCCTGAAAGCTGTTAATGAAGCCAGTAACGAACGGTTTGGAACCAGTCAGCAATCTGATCCTGTTGAGTTTCTATCATGGCTTCTTAATACATTGCATACAGATCTCAGGGTTTCGAAGAGTAGCAGCAGCATTATACACCAGTGCTTTCAGGGAGAACTGGAGGGTGGTGAAGACGGTCTCTGTACAGAGTGGAGATGCTGGATACACTCTTAGTGAAGAAAGTTTCAAGATGCCATTCTTAATGCTTGGTTACTTGCCACCAGAATCAGAGTTTAGGATTCCACTCGGACATTCTGAAGAAATTTGATGGCGAGACTGTAACAGAAGTTGTGCAACCTAGGATGGCCAAGATGAGATATCGATACCATGTGACCAAGCTACCGCAATACCTAATTCTCCACCTTCAACGATTTACAAAGAACAACTCTGCAGAGAAATTTTTGCCATAGTCAACTTTCCTGTGAAGAATCTAGAGCTCAAGTACTACATTCCACTTCCAGCACCAAAGGAGAGCGAAAACCTAGTGTCGAAATATGATTTGATTGCCAACGTAGTTCATGATGACAAAGCAGGTGAAGGAGCCTACAGAGTGTTTGAGCAGCGAAAATCACAGGAGTTGTTGTATCAGTTGCAAGACCTCAATGTCTCAGAAGTATTGTTTCAAGACAAGACGGTCGAGCTCTCTGAGGCATACATGCAGATATACGAACAGCATCCACATCAGCAGTAATTAACAACGGTTAACTTTTCAACATCCTAGCGGTTAATAAGTTTTGTTCTAAACTTTATCAACCTGTTTTCCATCAAATCCGACTCTTTAAGATTGTGATAATTGCTTAAATGCATTCTCTTTTGTTCTCTTTTTTTGGGCGTGGTTTGGTTTCGATTTGAGCAATGTAATTACTAAGACAACACGTACTTTCTTTGTGATAGGCTAAAAAGAGGTAAAAAAAAACAAAAACCAAACATATGCATGCCTTCAGCTGTATGCCTTGAAAAGCTCAAACACCTGTGTTTTTCTAGCGAAATTAGTTTATCATTTTAATTCTTCATTACGCAAGCATAAGCTGTAATGCCTTACAAAGGGGGAAAAAAGAAATTGCGTGTTTAGAGCCCCATAGCTTCAACACTCATTGCGCAAATACTTCAGCTACCTAAGTGCAGATGAAAATGTGATGCCAAACCAAAACTTGAAATTGAAAAATGTTGAACAAAATTTAACAAGATACAGCTTTAACAGAAAGTTCAGATTTAACTAGCAAGTATTTGGCTAGACAGCTTAACATTAGGATTCCAATACTAAGCAGCAAGGATTTGGCTAGACAGCTAACCAGCGGACCAATACTAAAACATTGAAGACAGTAAGATAGAAACTAATGACAATACTCCAGAGGCGTGCCCTTTCTAGAAAAGAGATGTTCCCTTTCCCTTCTTATCCCCACCAATCTCGAAATGCTTGCACCTCTGCAAAACATTAGAAACAACATAATATAAGCTACTGACAGGACGGAGAGAAACATAGAGAGAGATTCAGACCAAATGTATACAGCAACAAATTTATACTCAACATACCTTGATTGGGTGCTGAGAGACATGCTTACATCCCTGACATTGAAGCCTCAGCACAATCTTCTTGGTGGTTTTAGCCTAGTAATACAAAAGAAACAATGTCAATATTAATCACAGGGGAAGACTGATAAATCAGGTGAATAGCACTTGTACCCCAGTGCAAACAAATGCAGATTCTAAATCAACACATTATACATCACTGTATCAACAGAATTTTACCTTCTTGTGAAAGACTGGCTTAGTCTGTCCACCATAACCTGATTGCTTGCGGTCATAACGACGCTTTCCCTGAGCTGCAAGACTGTCCTTGCCCTTCTTGTACTGTGTAACCTTGTGCAAGGTGTGCTTTTTGCACTCCTTAGACTTGCAGTAAGTCTTCTTGGTCTTCGGAACGTTAACCTGTCAGATGCAACAGAACAGGACAACTCAAAACTTTGTAGAAAAAGTTTAAAACCACCGTTATGAGCTACGAAGGAAATTAAAAAACCGCTGGAATCAACTTGACCAACTAAAGCACGAAGGTTTAAACTTGCAGGTTACATAAATTATTCCACCTCGTTAAACATTCCCCAAAACCAAATCGAAACAATCCCAAAACACAGCTCTATACCATGTAAAATCTCCAACCCTTGAACATAAACAGGCAAAACACTGTAAGACTAAAAGTCACAACTTCTTAACCTCCTTGAAGATCACTAATGCTTCCAAGAAAATCAAAGCATACAAAAACAAAGTTATATGGAGTTCTACAAATAAACGGCCCAACCGAGTAATTTTCTTCCTCAAATTTATAATTCTTTTAAACCTACTTACTTCAAGACGGACCAACAGAACAAGAAATAGACACATCAAGCTCAACCCATGTCGATTTGAGGCCAAAATAAGCAGAAAACAGAAACAAAAGAGCTACATTCAACATCAAATAAATAGAAGGACCGGCGCACGAAACATTCATGATTTCTTTTCCAATTTCCTCAGCAAACCAAACGTACTTAACAATACAAACGACCAGAAATTGAAATTCGGACAAGAATCAGGAACTGAAAGAAGAAAAGGATTCAGATGAAGTACCATTTTCGGGCGGCGGAGAGAGGAGCTCTGGAGGGAGACTAAAGGAGTGGATGCCGCAAACTGCAAATGATTCCGCCTTACAAAGAAGAGAAACCCTAACTTGATATGAAGTTTTGTAGGCTTTTTGAGGCCGTATTTGTTGGGCTGGGCTTTTAAGGAGGCTACCTTGGTAATTTTGGGTTCTTGGGCTCTTTCCATTTCATATTTATTGTGTCCAGTGACTCCTGCAAACTCGGATTTTACTATTTTCATATTTACTTTTTCTTTTTTCGGGGGCTTATTTTATGTTTGGCTTTTTTCAAAATTATTCTTTTCCAAAAACATGATAAGTGCATTTACAGCATATTAATTTCAAAAAGTAAATATAACTATTTGATATAACTAACAAAATTATGTTTTGGTAAAATAGTCCAAAAAAACTTCTACAAAGTTTAATGGACTATACCGCATATACATTTGTTTCCACTGTATCATGTTAATGTTACATTTAAACTAGTTTCTTTGTCTTAAAACGTATTATTATAAAAGCTTTGGCATGTTGATTTTTTTGTAAAAAAAATCAACAAGAAAACGAAAAAGACGTACAATTTCACAAATTTAGCACAACTTGATTTCATATCATCTGAGTACCAACTAATTTGGAATTACAAATTATTTATTAAAAAAAATGAACTGAAAATTTGTTAAATACACATATGGTCGGAACAAAGAAAATAAAAGGACAAAAACCTCCTCGAGTTATGTCCAAAGGATAAATTGCCTCCGACATTTGTTATAAGGACTATAATCCCCCTACCGCAAGGTTAAAGGACAATTTGCCCCATGCATTAGCAAATCTTAGTGTCAAAAGATAGAAATGCCTTTAAATGTAGAAAGAATTTTTTTTTACATCAAACTTACCCTCCAACCAATTCGTTTATTTTTTTAAAATTAATAAATTCTACTATCTGTCATTTTAAATTCGTCACTGACTCCGTTTTAATGCATTATTTCTCCCTATCACTGCTGTCTCAATAAAAATAAATTTGAAATTGAGAATTTAATCTATCAAAACCATAAATTCTATTTATCCGGATAAATAGAATTTATGGTTATCACTTCCGCCTCAATAAAAATAAACCCGAGATTGAGAATTTAATATCTAAAAATTATAAATTAAATTCTCAATCTCAGGTTTATTTTTATTAAGACGGCAGTGATCGAGAGAAATAATGTATCAAAACGGAGTCAGGATCGAATTTAATCGGAGCCAAACTGTTTAAAGATTTTTTTTTAAAAAATAAATGAATTGATTAACGGGTAGGTTTAGTCTTGAAAAAGATAATTTCTAGATTTAACTGTATTTTTGTCTTTTTCCACTAAGATTTATTGATGCAAGGGATAAATTATCCTTTGACTTGGCGATCAGGGGGATCAGGGGATTATTGTCTTTATACGAAATGTCAAGGGCCAATTAGTTTTTTGAATTTAACTCGAGGGTTTTTGTCCTTTTTCCATATAAAAAATCCCAGATGGATCTTCAAAACAACCCAAACCCGAAATGGGCTTTCAAACTGTCCTTTTTCCATATAAAAAATCCCAGATGGATCTTCAAAACAACCCAAACCCGAAATGGGCTTTCAAACAAAACAAAAAACTCAAAACGGGTCTTCAAAACAAAAACAAACCCAAAATGGGCTTAAAAACAAAGTTTCAAAAGGCCTTTGTCCAACCCTTTGGACTGGAGAAGGGTGTTAAATTCCCTTTTGAAATTAAAACATGTGAAAAGTATTTGTTCCACGTTAAAAATGGTAACCCAATTTGACCAATATATATATCTCACGTGCTATTCTTCTCATGGCTAATTGGTTTAATAGTGAAATTACATTTGAGCTTATATGAAGTTTCAAGATAATTATATGAGAGAGGGAAAAAAATTTGATTATTTATATTTTTCTTTTGTCGTGAATTTATCTTCCAGTTTAGATTTATACTAATGTGCAATGAAGAATCTTCAAAGCAATACAAATAAGAGATAATGTGAAATAGTGTCAAATAATGAATCAGAGAGTGATAATAGAAGTAATTTACATATATAAATTATAATTCAGAGAATTCAGATTAGTTAACCATTTTGAACTATCAGAACAAATTAACGTTCAAAAGTTAGAAGTATTCTCCTCTTTTTAAAACAGAAGAGGAAAGTACTACTAGCCGCATCACTGACTGCTTCGTCCGAATGAGAAATGACCATTTGGCTAATCGAAAAGGCAAAAAATCAATGAAATAATATTGTTTTTAGCTAAGCAAATTCATCATCGAAAGTTTAGGACGCAAATGGAAAGGCTTAGTTAAGTGCTTATGTTACATGGAAAATCCCATGAGAGTTTTTTCTTTTTTTATAAAAAAAAATTCATTGGTAAATATTTTAATGATCGCAATGAATATCACAAGGGACCATAACAGTACCATTGGTGAAGAAAATATCTGGTTATTCGAATTCACATGCATGTACCTATGTCTTTGTTCTGAAATGGATCATTCATTAGTTGAAGCCTTGCAGGTATGTTTATAGCTAGATTAGACAATTAATTTGTGAAAGATGAAATATAAATGAAAGTAAAGAACCAATTATGTTATACTTAGGAAGAAATTTCATTGACTCTATGAATTAAATCATACTCATTCGGTCATTCCACTCTCAAATAGTAGTTCACAATACAATTTGTGAATTATTTTTGTTCATCGATCTAACCGACTTGATGGACGGAAGTAAAACATTTACGTACCAAAGAGCAACTACATATAATGAAGAGATATTTCACTCTTAATTAATGTTGGGCCAATATTTCCCCTCAATTGAGCCCATCATGATTAAAAGTCAAAATACATGTTGGATTTGGTTTGGTTTGACCGAATAAAAGGAAAACCAATTGGATTTGGTTTTTTTGTTTGATTGCTTATAAAAGCAATATGGCCATGACTTTTTGGCCGTGAATTTGACAAGCAAATTTTTGTGCGAGAGAAAAGAGAAGAGAAAAGCTAGTTCTGAGGTTTTTTACTGTTGCGAGAAGAAAGTGTTTCACTTTAAGGCTTTTATCGGGTGACGAAACAGAGTCAGTTATTGGTGCAAGTTTACATGTGTGTTCCTCTCAACAAGATCTACAAATCCACCGGTTTAGTTTCCAGTTTAGCTCTCTTTTGGTAAGATCCTTCCAATCCTACTTTGTGGTTTAGGTGTGTGTGGAAGAGTATTGTTGTAATCCACCTTTGGGTGAAGTCATTTGTATCCACCAGTTGGTGAAGACTGTTTCCATTACTGTGTTAGTGGAGATTTGACTGTTGTTACAGTCCTGTGATTTTTTCCGATTTGAGTTTTCACGTAAATTCGTGTGCCTCCTTTACTTTATCAGTTCTTGAATTATTTGCTTGTTTGGTTGGTTGTCCTATTTTATTGGTTGTAGGAAATGTGTTTTTCTTGGGAATCATTTCCGCTGGTTTGTTGCATTTATACCATTTCCGCCACAACATTGGCATCAGAGCTCAGGTTCGGTAGTTGAGGTGTTACACCAATAACATGGAAGAGTCATCGGGTACTGGTACGATGATTAAATTGACTTCATCCAATTATCATATGTGAAAACCTAGAATAAAAGATTTGTTATATTGCAAAGATTTGTTTGATCCTGTTCTAGGGGATGAAGGTAGGCCAAGTGATATGACTGATAAAAAGTGGGCTGATATGCACAGGAGCCTGTTGGTAATATTCGACAGTGGATTGATCAAAGAGTGTTTCATCACTTTTCGGGAGAAACAAAAGCTGATGAACTTTGGGAGAAAATCCAGAATATGTACTGGAAGAAGTCCGGCATCAATAAGTCATCTACGTTGAAACAGATTACCAGGTTGAGGTACAAAGATGGTGCTTGCATGAATGAGCACTTGAGTTCGTTTCAGGGTTTGTTGAACCAGACAGTGAATGTAGGTTTAAATTGGATGATGAGGTGCAGGCTTTGTTATTGTTTAGTTCTCTTCCAGACAGTTGGGACACTTTCGTAGTGTCAATCAGTTATTCAACCCAGGATGGTATTTTGACCTTGGATCAAGTCAAAGAGGCTTTGATGAATGAAGAAGTCAGAAGAAAAGAGCAGAGTATTGAGTCTGAGTGGCAAGCTCTGGTGACAGAAAAGTCAGATAGAAGAGGGAGAAGTAAAAGCAGCGGGCCACGTGATCGGAATGACAAGTCCAGAGGACGGTCTAAATCCAAGAAAGATGTCGTGTGCTACCATTGTCAAGGGAATGGGCACTTTAAGAGAGAGTGCAGGGTTCTCAAGAAAGAACTAGCAGCGAGTAAAGGTAAAGGCAAGAACGATGAATCAAGTGATGATGACACTACTGCAGTAGTAAATACCAGTGATGTATTTGTGTACTGTGATGATGATACAATTAATGTTGCGAGTCACGACAGTGATTGGTTCGATGATTCAGGTACGTCTTATCATGTGACGCCTCACAGACACTTCTTTACCTCTTACACACCTAGAGATTTTGGTCGTGTAAGAATTGGCAATCAAGCCTCATGCGATGTTGTCGGCATGAGAGTGGTATCATTGGTAACGAATACAGGTTGTACTCTTGTCTTGAAAAATGTCAGACATGTTCCGGATATGCGTCTGAACCTTATTTCCTTTGGAAAACTTGATGATGAGGGTTATCATAGAACTGAAGGTGGTGGCCGTTGGACAATTACCAGAGGAAATCTTGTTATTGTTAGAGGAAAGAAGTTGAACTGTTTACATGTGTTGAATGCAAAGTTGAAGAATGGAGAGGTGAATGCAACTCACAATGCCTCCATTGATCTTTGGCACAAAAGGCTTGGACACATTAGTATCAAGGGGCTCCATATTCTTGATAAGAAGCAATTTCTCCCTGAGGTGAAAGGTACTACTCTAGAACCTTGTGTTGACTGTATCTATGGTAAACAGCATAGGGTTTCCTTTCAAAATTCTCCTCCATCTAGAAAGTCCAGTCCTCTAGAGTTAGTTCATACAGATAGATGTTGCATGAAAGATAGGTCGTTGGGTGGAGCATTGTACTTTGTTACTTTCATTGATGACTATGCCCGAAAGGTTTGGTGTTTTTCTTTGAAATCTAAAGATCAGGTATTAGATGTGTTCAAAGACTTTCACCTTAGAGTTGAACGAGAGGGGTCCGTTTGAGAAGTATTGCCGAGACCATGGCATTAAACTTCAGAAGAGTGTTCCGAAGACTCTGCAACAGAATGGCGTGACAGAAAGAATAAACAGAACTATTACCAAAAAATTTAGGTGTATGCTCTTGAATGTAAAGCTGCCTAAATCTTTTTGGGTTGAAGCCATGCAGACAACAGTTGATTTGATCAACCTATCTCCCTCAGTTCCGTTGGATGGTGATTTACCACAACGAGTTTGGACAGGGAAAGATGTCTCATTTGGACATTTGTGAATTTTTAGTTGTCGTGCCTTTGTTCATATTCCCAAAGAAGAAAGGTCGAACCTTGATAGAAAATCCAAGCAGTGTATATTCTTGGGGTATGACAATGATGATTTTGGGTACAGACTTTGGGATCCTGTAGAGAAGAAAGTTTTCAGAAGTAGAGATGTCATTTTCTTTGAAGACCAGACCATTGATGATATGGGAAAGGGCGAGATGCCATAATCTTCACCTGAGATTCCTGTTGATCTAGATCTAGTTCCTCCACAATCAGATGATTCTCCTGAAGGGAGAGTTGAGACAGAGCAAAATGGTGAGTTTGATGATGATCCTACTTCTGAAACAGAGACACCACCGGTTTCATCACCTCATGTCCAGCCAAGGAGGTCCACCAGAGACAAGAAACCTTCCACCAGGTACAGTACTCATGAGTATTTGTTGCTTACTAATGGGGGAGTACCAGAGTCGTATGAAGAGGTTCTTAGTCATGAGCAGAAAGATCAGTTGTTAGCAGCCATGCAAGATGAGATCAAATCCTTGCATGAGAATAACACGTATGACCTGGTGAAACTGCCTAAGGGCAAGAGAGCACTCAAGAATAAATGGGTGTTCAGACTGAAGACAAGTGAGAACAGCTCACAACCGAGGTACAAAGCTAGATTAGTTGTGAAGGGATTCAATCAGAGAAAGGACGTAAACTTTGATGTGATATTCTCTCTTGTTGTAAAGATGTCTTCAATCCGAGTTGTGCTTGGGATAGCGGCCAGTTTGAATCTTGATATTGAACAGCTTGATGTGAAGACAACCTTCTTGCATGACGATTTGGAAGAAGTGATTCACATGGAGCAACCAGATGGGTTTCAGGAGAAGGGGAAAGAGAAGCTTGTATGTCATCTCAACAAAAGCTTGTATGGGTTGAAGCAAGCTCCGAGGCAGTGGTACAAGAAGTTTGATGCCTTTGTGATAGAGCAGGGATACCAAAGGACTACAGCTGATCACTATGTGTTTGTGAAGAAATTCTCTGATGGGGATTTTATAATTCTTTTGCTTTATGTCGATGACATGTTGATTGTTGGTCATGATACTGCAAAGATTGTCAGGTTGAAAAAGGAGTTGAATAAGTCCTTTGCGATGAAGAATTTGGATCCGGCTAGACAGATCCTTGGGATGAAGATTTCTCGTGACAGACAGAATGGGAAGCTTTGGGTATCTCAAGAGAAGTATATCGAGAAGGTTCTTGATAGGTTTAACATGAGCGGTGCTAAGGAAGTCTCGACTCCACTTGCGGGGTTGTACTAAAAGTGAGAAAGATAAGGAAGAGATGAAAAAGGTTCCTTATGCTTTGGCAGTTGGCAGCCTGATGTATGCGATGGTTTGCACAAGGCCAGACATAGTTCATGCAGTTGGTGTTGTTTGTCGGTTTTTCTCCAATCCTGGTAAGGAGCATTGGAATGTTATGAAATGGATTCTCAGGTATCTTAGGGGTACTTCCAGATTGAGTCTTTGCTTTGGCAATGGAAAGACCATGTTAGATGGATACACAGATACTGACATGGCGGGTGACCTTGATGGTCGGAAGTCTACTTCTGGATACTTGATGACATATGGAGGGGGCGCAGTTTCATGGCGGAGTAGGTTGCAGAAGTGTGTTGCTTTGTCTACTACAGTATACAGAGACAGAGTTTATCGCAGTTACTGAATATTGTAAGGAAGTACTTTGGTTGCAGAGGTTTCTACAAGAGTTTGGCATAAAGCAAGAGAGGCATGTGGTTTACAATGATAGTCAGAGCGCTATTCACTTAGCTAAGAAATCCACATTTCATTCGCGGTCGAAACATATTGATGCGAGATATCGTTGGCTTCGGGATGTGTTGGAGTCCAAGGCTTTGTTTCTTGAGAAGATCCATACAGATGACAACGGTGCCGATATGTTGACGAAAACTGTGAGTAGAGACAAGTTCCTGTTTTGCAGACAAGAAGCCGGTTTGGTTTTACCCCCAAATTGAGGTGAAGGGAGAGATTGTTGGGCTAATATTTCCCCTCAATTGAGCCCAGCATGATTTAAAGCCGAAATTCATGTTGGATTTTGGTTTGGTTTGGCCGAATAAAAGGAAAACCAATTGGATTTGGTTTTTTGGTTTGATTGCTTATAAAAGCAATGTGACCATGACTTTTTGACCGTGAATTTGACAAGCAAATTTGGGACAGTCGCACATTATTTTTGTGCGAGAGAAAAGAGAAGAGAAAAGCTAGTTCTGGGGTTTTTTGGTGTTGCGAGAAGAAAGTATTCCACTTTAAGGCTTTGATCGGGTGACGAAACAGAGTCAGTTACTGGTGCTAGTTTGCATATGTGTTCCTCTCAACAAGATCTACAAATCCTCCAGTTTAGTTTTCAGTTTAGCTCTCTTTTGGTAAGATCCTTCCAATCCTAGTTTGTGGTTTAGGTGTGTGTGGAAGAGTATAGTTGTAATCCATCTTTGGGTGAAGTCCTGTGTATCCACCGGTTGGTGAAGACTGTTTTCCATTATTGTGATAGTGGAGATTTGACTGTTGTTACAGTTCCGTGATTTTTTCTGATTTAGGTTTTCACGTAAATTCGTATGCCTCTTTTACTTTATCAGTTTTTGAATTATTTACTTGTTTGATTGGTTGTCCTATTTTATTAGTAGTACGAAAAAAGTTTTTCTTGAAAATCGTTTTCGCTGGTTTGTTGTGTTTATACCCTTTCCGCCAAAACAATTAATGACGGGATACACCATACAATACGCCAAAACAAAAGAACATGTATGCGCATGGAAATGGAAAAGTTCCACTTTTTTGAAGCAAGTTGAAAAGAAAAACATTATACTGTAACACGAACCAAAAGAACCATGACCAAATCTACATAAAATATTCAATCATTGAGATGAAGATAATGCATAAATTTAATTTTCGAGGCAAGTGGTAGCTCATTTCTTCCGATTTTATTATTTCTTTTTGCCTCTCTGGTTCAATGATGAATCTAGTCATACCAAACGATTAATAAATCACCATCATGCATGAAGTGCTTAGATCATCATCACTCGTTTTGGACAATTTGTTCTATAAACATTTAGGCCAGAAACATTGCATTTGCGTAGAAGTAGTAGTTAAGCAGTTGGATCGTCAGATTTCATTTTGGCAAAAACCAAAAGAATATAGTGTTTCTAATAATAGCCGGAGATCTCTCAACATGGAGGAGTTCAATGAGGTTCGTATACTATCTACTCAAAATCCATTTGCTAGTTACATGTTATCCTAAATGATTGTGTTATTTTAGTACAACAAACAAGAAATCGATCATCATTAATTGATTATCATGGGCTTGGTTTAATTTTTATGATGCTGTTGACATTTGTATATAAACATCATTGAATCAGGTGATTTTCGAGTTCAAGAAAAGCATAAGAAGAGCAATCTTAAACAGGCCCGGGCAGCTAAATTCCCTTACTTTCGAAATGGTATGGTTTGTCCACTGTATTGCATACATTCTCATTACTTACGATCATAATTTCGTACAAATGGGTTTCAATGTTTTGTTTATTCCATCAATCGATCTCCCTCATTTAATCTTAAAATGACACGATAAATGGGATAATGATTTTGGAACAGAAATACCGATCATCATCATGCTTTTGATGAATATGTGATGTTCAGATTTCTCAGATGTTGAAACAACTTGGAGTTTTTGAAGAAGATCCGACTGTCAAACTTGTGATATTAAAGGTAAGGTAATATAGCTAGAGGTTAATTTTCATCAATCATTGTTTATCTCAGATTTTCTTTCTCTTTGTTTCTATGCTTTTTTTATCCAGGGAAAAGGAAGAGCATTTTGTGCAGGGGGTGATGTTAAAGGTGTAATAAATTTTGTGACAAATGGTAAGTTGACCTTACAAGGCCATACAAAATAAAAGTTTGCATTGATCTCGATTCAAGTTGTCGTATAAGAATTATCATTTTCGGTTGATTTTATAAATTTCATGCAATAGAAATAATTATAGAGCCGATTTCTATAAATTAATTGTTATTGTTCCACTTGAAATGTAATTTTTACTCTATTCGTCGCAAAAAAATATAATTCATATTGAGTTTTAAGGACAGAGGTAGTACTTTTAAACATCTTAAATCTTCATTCTCATCCAAAATGAGAAAGAAAAATCATTTTTTTTCTTATCTTTAATGTGATTCCTTGTCCTAATAATGGACATGTTGTATAGGTCATTGGAGCTTTGGTGCTAGTTTCTTCCGGCGGCAACTTACACTAGACTATAAAATTGCCACCTTCAAAAAACCAGTGGTAAGTCAGACGTTAAATAATTTAATTATTAATTAGTTTCGTCACGTTATTCTTAAGATGAAGACAAAATAGAACTTGTAGTATTTACTATTTTAGCTTCATTTCTTTTAACAATTATGATGATAGGTGTCAATTTTAAATGGATTCGTCATGGGAGGAGGAGCTGGTCTTTCGATGCTTTCTACCTTTCGGATTGTTACTGAAAAAACTGTATGTATTTTTCTTTTACCTGTTTACTTACTTACCTCGAGATTTTAATATGTAAGAATTTTGTCTTATTTAAAATTACTACTACTAATTATAGAGAGTTGAGAATATTTGTATCATTCATATATAGCGTAAAACAATCGGGAAAGTCAATGATACAATGTGTAATTAACTAGAGATGAATCATTTTTCACCCTAATTCTCCTCCGGTAATACATATATGTATATATATATATATTTATTTATTTATTTATTCATCCTCTGGTAATAATATTAAAAAGCGTGATGGACAGATATTTGCCATGCCAGAAGCATCAATTGGAGTTTTTCCAGATTGTGGTGCTTCGTATTTCTTTTCTAGGATTCCAGGCTATTTCGGTATGTACATTACATAACAATTAATCCAAAAAAAGAAGAAAAGAAACACATGTTTTAACGTTTCTTATATTATTAATTATTTATCATGGTAATTTTTCATCTTGATTTAATCAGCATTAATGTACTGTTGTAGGAGAATACTTAGGTTTGACAGGAACTCGATTAACTGGGATTGAAATGCTTCATTGTGGCCTTGCAACTCATTTTGTCCTTTCCAAGGTACTCCTACAAAATCAAAGTTCAAAATCTCGTTGAAACAAAGATAATGGAAAAAAGGAAAAAGAAAAAAAAGTAATGTATTTTTATTTATTTTTTCCCCTTTCACAGGATCTTACTTCACTTGAAGATTCTTTAGATTCGTTGGGAGCATCTGAATCAATGGTAATTGATGAAAGAACAATTTTAAGAACCATCAACTAATTTGTTCATCAATTTCATCTCCCAAAAAGTAGCGTCTACCAAAGGTAATTCTCACCGAAATTACTTATACTCTCTCCGTCCCATAATTATTGTCCAGTTTGAGTTTTCATTTTTAGTTCAAATTGTAGTAAAAGTGAAATCTCAAACTGGTCAATAGTTTTGGGACAGAGGGAGTAATATTCAGAGGACGGAAAAGAAATGGTGGGCTTTTAATGTGTATCCTAAGACTAATTAATTATGTGGTGGCATACCGATTCTAAATTACAAGGAACTTGTTAGATACTAAATAGTATTCCTCCATCTCATAATAATCATTCTATTTTTTTTTTCCTTATAGAATTAATGATTGATCGGTGACTAGGTTGGAGGTTATTAACCAATGTTTTTCCAAGGATACCGTTGAAGAAATTTTGGCATCATTGGTAAGATCATCAGTAATTGCTAATTAGAGTTCTTTGTTCCACATCGGATTTGCTAACCAATCAAGATTAGTAATCCTTTCATAGTAAATTGATTATCTAATTTAAATTTTTATTTTTAATATTTATATGAAAAATATTTATACTAAAATTGAAATGTCAAACATGATGATCATTTTTAGACAAAAGGAGTATGTAAATGTTTTTTGACATTACATGCATTACCGATTGATTTTGAACTTGATGCCAAATGTTTTACTTAAGGGAATGATAAATACTTTACGCAATTTAATTAAAAATTTCAACAATTTTGTAAAAATGCAAAATGTAATAAGTTGTTTATAAACAATATAATTAATGAACACAATAATTTAATGTAAACAGTAATTAGATATACTCAATTATTTTTTCTTCTTTTTTTTGTGGCCCAGGAAATATTGACTATGCATAAAGAAGGAAAATGGGTTATGGATGCAATTAAATCCATCAAATCGTCCTCTCCAACAAGCCTCAAAATCTTCCTAAGACTGGTAAACTAACATAGATAATGAAACCAATTGAATATTTTTTCGATTCCCACCAGAGGTTAAATGGGTTTTACCCGTATTTAAGTGGAGTTTACTGAAATGGTTTTCAAAAAAAATAATAATTGAATATTCCTTCGGTTCCAACCAAAAAATAAAAATAAAAATAAAAAAATTATACATTTTATTTCAGTTACTCTTTCTTCCCAGAAAAATTCAATAAAAAGTGAAGTATTGCTTTATTGGGACGGGAAGAGTATTCGTGTAAAGACTATGCATAATGTGGATTTAATTGCAGATTAGGGAAGCCAGGCGAACGAACAACCTAAAGCAGTGTCTTGCTAATGACTTCAGGGCAATCTGTCACATTTTGCGAAGAACCAACAACGATTTTTTTGAGGTTGGCAAATTAAATTAAGAATTATTACTAATTATTACAACATGGGATTAGTTATTATTCTGTTCCAGAAAACTAGTTAAGTTCGCTAAACTATCTTTTACTTTATTTATTAATTTAATGATTGTTTCAAAAAAAAAGTTTATAAAGTGGAATTTTTTTTTCTTTGGGACGGAATAAATACTAATTAATATTACTCCTTGAAAAATATATAGGAACAAAAAAATGTATATATACCAAATGATTAATATGAAGATTTAAATTGCTAGGGTGGAAGAGCAATGCTCATTGAGAAAGGAAGAAAACCCCAGGTATTACAATATTTATTATATTAATAAATATTTTCTTACTTCGTCGATCTCTTAATATTAATAATTAATGTCTAAGTAATCTTTTGTTTTTTGTATAACTACAATTGAACAGTGGATGCCTTCAAAACTGGAGCTGGTCAGCAAGGAAATGGTTGACAAATATTTTTGTGATATTGAGAATGAAGAGGATTGGGCTCCCTTGCAACTTCCTTCAAAATCTGCCCTACCCCATTTTCCTGACTTGTATTCCAGACTCTAAGGCCCTGTTTGTTTGATTTTTTTAATAATTTTTCCAGTTTATTTTATTGATAACTGTCTCATTTCATAATACTTTTTTACATTTTTAATACATTTTTTTACATTTTCTAATGCAAAAAATATGTAAAAACATACACTAAAAAAACGAAACAAATATACCCTAATCTTCGTCAATGATATCATGAAAGATGAGTGACAATCGAGTTATATTTCGTACTAAAAACTTTCATATTTCTACATTTAAATCACATAAGGACAATTTCAGTATGGTGATAAATTAATTATTATCCACCTCGTTATTGAAAATAGTATGCAGTCAATTTTTATTCCTTGATTTTGGCGAAATTGTTCGGAATTTTGTAAAGGGTATTTGGCGGTTTCACAAAGTTTAGAAGTTTGTCCATTTCAAAATAAGTGCTAACTTACGAAAATGTTATTTCATCTCAACACTATCGGTCTAAACTCCATATATAAATGTGATCAATGGATTTTAAGTATTGATCGCCAACGACGCCCTTATTGATCTATAAACTCCATAAAGGAATGTTAATTGATCCAAAAAATGGGCATTTTATGAAAATGTTAATATACGGGAGAGGTCTTATTGTCGAATAATTTGGCTTCACTAATGTAATTTGCAATTAAGTACCCTCTGTAATTGTGCCGTAGGTATTCATCACAAAAATAACGAGCCATAAAATTTTTATAGCTGTATATCCTTTTTCATTTTACTCAATTTTTTAAAAAAAAATCAAAGAGAGAAATATACAAAAACAAAGATTAATATGCAGTACTATCCATATATGGAGAACCAGCTGCAACAATTTACTACTTTCTTTTTTCAAAAAAAAAAAAAAAATAGTTCACATTGAATTATGAGATTGGTACTGCTTTTAACATAAATCTCAAAACTTCATATGGTTTTTAAAGAAAATTATGGTTGCAGAAGCTAAATTACGTACCAGCTACAAGGCCAAGCTTTAATTAGCATAATATCATATCATATGTGACAACCAGACAGCTAGCTGTTTAAGCTCTCAACAATTATTTTCTTCATTGATGATAATTTTTGAAAAAATTTGAGAATCTTAATTTCAATTATTTTCACAATTAAAAGAAGATTGTTATTTTTTCTCTTTTCCGGAAAAATAACTCAAGGACCAATTACCTTTGGGTTCCTCATAAGACAACAAGTAATGATACGGATAACTCGTCAAGGACCAAGTAATGATACCTCTTTGGCGTAAGCACATTCATCATTAGAACTATACGTAATTTTGGAAGCAAAATAATAAATCAACTTGAATGTATACATGATGCTTATATCACTTGTAGCTCTTATGGAAAAAAAATAAAAATAAAATTGTAATTGCTTGTATTTGCTTGGTCTTTGAAAACTGAAAGCAGAGTGAAAATAAAAAGTAAGACGCCGATATTTGTCTTCTCATTTCCAACAACCATGTTTTTGTCCTGAAATTAATGGATCTTCCTACGATACATGAAAGGAATCAATGTATAGCATTACTAGAAAGTACTCCCTCCATTCACAAATAGATGTCGTTAGAAGAAAATTTAAATATTCTAAAATAGATGTCGTTCTCACAAATCGAGTCATATTTTGTCAATTTTTTTCCAATATCACCCTTACATTGGAAATTGTTGTGATGTTTAATGTAGAATTGTATTAGAAGTGAATTTTATTGGGACTACAATTGAATTAAGAATAAATGAGGGTATTATAGTATTAACAAGATAATTATTGTCTCCTTAAACTTTGTGAAATCTTTCCAGCGACATCTATTTGTGAATGGAGGGAGTAGTAAGTATGTTGGAAATTTCGTAACAATATTAATAATTATAAACACTTGGCATGTAAATTGCCCATTGGGATTGCCGTATAAGTAGAGTTACAATAGAGTTATAAAAGTAGAGTAATCTATCATTAGTTTTTAATTAGCGCCTGAATTTCATACTGATGCATACGGAAATTTAACAAAATGTACCTCTTTAAACTAATTTACATTGAAACATTTAATTATCTTAACGAATTTAATTAAACACTAAGCTCTTGATAACTCACTGAATTTTGCTATTACAAACTTTTAACTGTTCCACCCAAACCTCTCACCTATGCATACATATATTTCTGCTCTAAAATAATTTTTCTATATCATTGTAATAGATCCGGATTGGCCCTAAGATGATGACCCAAGAAAAAGAAGAACAAAATATTCGTGAAAAAACAAAACTGCGTTGAATATAAATCTAGACATAAAATAAAACTCCCAATAGAAAACATAAAAATTATGAAGTGCTTAGATCACTCATTTCAATTTGGTAGTACAATTTCATTCTATATATAGTAAGAGTAGAAACACATTGCATTTGCTTGTGCGCTAGTGTTAACTTCTAATCTCTTCAAAACTTCAATTTTCAACCCAAAAGAATCAATTCTTTCTAATAATGGAAGCAGGAGATCTTAGCAAGGAGTTCAATGAGGTTTGTACTTTCGTACTATTCGTACATATCTAATCTAATTAGTCCATTTTCTAATTATATATTCTCTATGTATATATAGTTTCTTTAACATGCATGGTAAAAACAGTTGAATTAATTAATTTTTGATATCATGAATAGCGCGCGGATGATCGTAATTAAGCAAATATTCAGCATCATGGATATGATCTAATTTTTTGCTTCTAATTTTGTGTATTACTGAATCAGGTGCTGTTTGAGTTCAACAAAGGCATAGGAAGAGCAATCTTAAACAGACCTAGGCAATTGAATTCTCTTACTTATGAAATGGTATGGTGTATATACTATTTAGCTTATATGTACATTCTCATTTATTACCATAAATGAGTTGCATTTGTTTTGTCATTGTAAAAAACATACTCCCTTCGTCCCAAAATTATTGTCCAGTTTGAGATTTCACATTTAGTATAATTTGAACTAAAAATGAAAAAAATTCAAACTGGACAATAATTTTGGGACAGAGGAAGTAATTATTTTGGGACAAAAAGGTGTACAGATTATCATTGTGTGTTTATCAACAATCAACTTGGTGGTTGAGAATTTGCGATGTTCAGATTTCTCAGATGTTGAAACAACTTGGAGTTTTTGAAGATGATCCAACTCTCAAGCTTGTGATTTTAAAGGTAAATAATCTAGTTAGAAATATTTTTAGAGAGGTGTAAATTTTCATCAATTAATACAGATCATTACTTTCTCAAATTTTATTCTCTTTGACATATGCTGTTTCTAGGGAAATGGAAGAGCATTTTGTGCAGGGGGTGATGTTAAAGGTGTACTAAATTTTGTGACAAATGGTAAGTTGCTAACTAAAAATATCATGTAATTTTTTTTGTCCTAGAATGATCCTCTTATCTTAGAACGTTCTTATATATTAATTAATTTATATTAGAAATACTACAAAAATTGAGTAATTATTTCGGGAGAGTATAAATTGAAATTAGCCTGATATGTTGTGAGTTGCGAACAAATTGCATCCACGGCTTATTAATATCCAGTGGGATCATTTGACCCATTGATAAACAAATACGGTGCCTTTGTCATAAACTTTTGGAGTAATTTTGTACGTATATGACGTCCCTCATTTAAGAGCTATAAACTATAAAGTAATGAGAAACTCTAAAAAGAGGGGATCTATTCAATGAACTTCATGCAAGGCCTGAATTTTGACCTATTTAATTTATTACTATTAAAAGAGAAACCTACCTAGATGGGTGAATGATATAGCCAAGATGGGAGATTATTATTACTAAATGAACGAAATTATAAATAATTGAAAGAAATCTAAAATCTCTTTTATCTTTTTCTACTCTTTTTATTATATGAAATTATTATCTAATTTAATTTTTTTATTTATTTTTATTTAAATTGTACTAAAACTGGAAATATAAATTTCGAAACAGAAGGAATATCTTATCTTCTTTCGGCCTCACAAAGACTTCCTTCTCCGAAAACTAACAAGCGAACAAGTTTTTATCAATTCCCCATTACCTTTTTTTCTTTTTATATTCGATGGTGCATGTATGTATAGGCCATTGGAGCTTTGGTGCTAGCTTCTTCCGGCGGCAACTTACTTTAGACTACAAAATTGCTACCTACAAAAAACCAGTGGTAAGATTGTATTCTTTCCGTCCCAACATTATTATTATTCTTAAATATTATTATCATTGTTCTCTGTCATTATGTGATAATTCTTACATTTGATTTTATAAATCGATCCATTGGTTGGTGAAAATAAAAAATTACTCTCAATCTTTAACTATCAATAGGTATCCATCTTAGATGGAATCGTGATGGGAGGAGGAGCAGGTCTATCTATGCTTTCCACCTTTCGAATTGTCACAGAAAAAACTGTATGGAAATTTTGCCACCTCAAACTTTTCTACGTGAAAAAATTACTCCTTCTAATCCTTAATATAAGACATTTTAATTTATCCTAGATTTAATCTAATACACATTCGTGTACTAAATGTAATCTACGAAAAGTCAAAATGTCTTATAATAAGAACATGATGAAGTACTATTTAATTCTGTCTCCAAAAAGATTGTAGTTTTTAGTCCAGAATAAAAATAATGCAACCATTATTACTCTTATTTAACGTGTCCAAAATTATTTTACTTGATCGTAAACAATGATGAACAGATATTTGCGATGCCAGAAGCAGCAATTGGACTTTTTCCAGATTGCGGTGCATCTTATTTCTTGTCCAGGATTCCAGGCTCTTTCGGTATGTAACATAACAATTAATAAGTAACAATAAAAACAAAAAAGCACAGTTTTCGTTACTGCTTCCCTGAATTGGAATTTACTGACGAAAATTCCCATGCAGTTTACTTCCCACCATGTGTAATAATAAATTGATTTTTGCGCCTTTTTTCTACAATTCATAAAGTGATTTAATTTGGAAATTATTGTTTTAGGAGAATACTTAGGTTTGACAGGTACTAGATTAACCGGGATGGAAATGCTTGCATGTGGTCTCGCAACTCATTTTGTATTTTCCAAGGTACGGAGTACCGCTCTTTCATTTTTACTTTTTAATACTACTCTACTCGTCTTAATATTTCATTTCACTTTGTATTTTTACTGATTCTATCACCACTATATAAGTGAAAATGAAATATTGAGACGTGAATGGACAAATTCACTAAGTCACAATCCTAATAATTAATCGATTCATAAGAGATAATTTTACATCTTACTATATTAGAAACAAAAACCACACGATTATTACTAAAACGTACCGAGTTAAATACAATTTCTTTTTTTACCTAATACAAACATTTCTATGATCACACTTATAAAATATTTCTAAATTCTTCAAATATTTCTAAAATATATCGGCCAAATACAAAATATTTTTCTTTTCAAATACAAACATTTCTAAGATCTACAGATATATTGGACCCGGATCGTGTATTGCGTGACCAGACATCACTAGTTTTACATAAAGTATAAATCAGTTACTTTTAGTGTTATTTATCTTTTCGCACTTATTCTTTCCCCTAATTTTTCTATTTAATTTTCCCTTTCTTTCATGTTATGATATATCTATATATATATATATATATATATATATACACACACATACATATATATATATATATATATCATCTCCAAAAATAGTCGTATGTGTAGGAAACTTCAAATGTCAAACTTATATTGTTTTTACTAAATTAATTTTAATTTTTATATTGTTTGGTTGGCCTTTTATTTTTCTTTTAGGATCTTGCATCACTGGAAGATTCTTTAGATTTGCTGGCGGCATCTGAATCCATGGTTACTGATAAAACATCAATTTCAAGAACTATCAGCAAATTTGTTCAGCAAGTTCATCTCCCAAAAGATAGTGTACTCTGCCAGGGGTAATTCTCTTTGTCTAAAATTAATGAGAAAACGTATATAATGCATGCACAGGTTCTCTAGCTTTAGACTAAGCTCCTTGAATCCTAAGATAATTATTTTGTTTGCGATTTTCTTGCAAAGAAAGAAAAAGTCAAGTTTTATCTCAGACATTTTTGTTTTAATACTTTCTCCATCATAAAAAAATAATCGACATTAATTTTCAAAATTTTTACATACAAATCTCAAAACTGTGAACTATTCATAATGGATAGGACATTCGCTATCAAAATCGAAAGCAAACAAAACATCACATTACATATTCAATGCATGGGCGATGGAACATTATAGGATCGTGAAGCGTTGCGATTCAAATGTATAAGCGACCTATGTTGTAATGCATTATTTTTATTTTATTTTTACTTTTTTGTATATCACACATTCTTCATTTTTTTTCCTTCTTTTTTTTTGGACGAAATTCCTAACCGACGACCAGATTGGGTGCTATTAACGAATGCTTTTCCAAGGATACAGTTGAAGAAATTTTAGCATCATTGGTAAGTTCATCCTTAGCAATTTTGTGAATAATGAAAAACATTAATTTCCTGGTTATTTTTTTTTTAAAATTTTTTATTCTTTTGTTCTTTGTAGGAAAAGTTAGGTATGAATCAGGAGCAAAAATGGATTCTGAAAGCAGTTGGATCCATGAAATCTGCCTCTCCAACAAGCCTTAAAATCTTCCTAAGACTGGTAAAGTGAAATGAAATGAATGAGGATTTTATTTTTATGGATTATTTTGTTGGGTCGAAACTCTATGGTATAATATTGTTTTGATCATTAATTATTAATCTGGGAATTTAGATTAATTTAAATTCTCTCTTTGCTAATGACCATTTAATTATAGATTCGGGAAGGCCGGCGAACAAACGACCTGAAGCAGTGTCTTGCTAATGAATTCAGGGCATTCTGTCACAAACTACGTAGAACTACCAACAATGACTTCTTCGACGTTTCGCCAATTAAATCAAATAACTATTTTATTACAGATTACGACATTTTAGTTGGTTATTAGTAAAGTCTCACAAACACTCTTCATATTTTAAAAAAATTGTCTTACTAAAATTAATGCGAAAATATATTTATTTTGGGACGAAGATGAAAACGAAGCTATCATATATATATATATATATATATATATATATATAACCTTAATTAAGTTAGTGATTTCATCTTGTAATCACACCCAGGGTGCAAGAGCAACGCTAATTGAGAGAGGAACAAAACCACAGGTAATAATTTGAATCATTTTTTATTATTATTATGATGGCTCATTTAATTAATTCTTTTCAAATTTCATAAGGTTAATTTTGAACAAAAATCCTCACTGATTTTGCCCTTCCCCCTCCCCCCCCCCTCTTGGTGTGGCTAAAAATTCGAGCAGTGGAAGCCTTCAAAACTAGAGCTCGTAAGCAAAGAAATGGTGTATGCGTATTTCACTGAAATAGAAAACGATGAAGATTGGGTGTCGTTGAAACTTCCTCCAAAATACGTTATGGTGCCAATTTCTCCTTTTGAAGAGCAGTATTCCAGACTCTAAATCTTAATTTCCTGCTTCGTTAGCACTTAATAATCCGAGGAAACTCGAATTTGAGTTTCGATTTGGAAGTGGGAAGTTAAAAATGTTTGTGTTGCTTTATGTCTACATATATATCGACTTTTAAGAGATCGTACGTCATTTTCAAAAAAAAAGAAAAAAGAAAAAGAGATCTCGTACGTAAGGATCGCCGATGTACGCGATGGTGGATTACTTCTTTCTTCGATCCTCTTTGTTTTGGATTGCTCAACTGAATTCTCTTCATTTTCTTTCTTTCGTAGTTTCACAGTACTTTTGTTTATCCATGGTTTGGGTTTTGTTAGAGTCACATTTTTCACATAATTAATTTTGAAGAATTGCTATTTCCTTTGCGGTCATGATTTAATAATCAACTTTATGATATAATGGTAATAAAGTGTGACAGATAAGAGTGACGAGAGTTTTAAACATGATGTCTCTACGCTTCTTGCTAGGCTAGCTCGTGGATGCGTGTGAAAGAAGAAAAGTCAACTTATGTTTATCCCAAATTCCCATTGCATGATCATCATTTGTATAATCCAGCGATAACCAATCATAATACATTTCAATAAGTCATTAGCACGAGTCTGTGTTTGGGTTAACAACTAAAGTAAAAGTGGCATATTTTGGACTATTTTACATTAACAAACATGAATTGTATTTAATTTGGGATAGACTGTTTTGTTCTCGTTCGTCAATTCAGCGAGCACTTGGCCTGTTCTAATCTCGTAGACTTGTGAGTGGATTTTGATAGACCCGGCAACTTATCCGGGACGAAAACCAAAAATCCAAAATGAGTATTCAAATAAGGATAAAATGCACTTTTGATCTCTTAACTAAAAAGAGTCATAGTTTTTGATCACTATTAAATTTTTCTGACAAAATTAATCACAAGTTTCTCGTTTATTCATCATCATTGATCCATTTTACAGAAATTTTTAATAATTAACGGTCAAATTTAGTCAAACGTTAATTTTTTATTTTTTATTAATTTATTTTCAAGTTGTGAGGCTCACTTACATTTCACTTTAAAAATAAAATAAAATAAAAATTTCTCTTCCTCTCGCCGGCACCATTGTCAAAATGAAACAAAGTAAGCCATTAATAAGGTTCTAATAGTAGTAGATTTTTTTCTGATAAATTTAGAAGAGAAGTACATAATTTAAATGATTGATCTCCCATCTGAAGAGAAGATGATCAACACTAATCAACCGAAACACAAAACAACAAAGATCAGAATCCCGCATAAGAAAATCCGTGGATTCATTGTAACCCACTTCGGTGATTTCATCCAAAGAAAGCAAACTCCTGGGGAGATTGATTTTTTTAGAGGAGCTCCTTGGATTTGATCTTGCAAAGTGTTGGGTAGGTGTAAATCTCAGTTTTCTCCCTGTTAGATTCCAGTAGCCGTTGGGTCGACATTTTAAGCAATTCTAAGCAAAAAAAGAAGAAAGCCCAAAAAGGATAGGGAAATTGATCAGAACAAAAGCAAAGAAAATACTAATTTTGTCAGAAAAAACTTGATGGTGACCAAAAGTTGTTACCTTCCTTACTTCAGAGATCAAAAGTGCATTTTATCTTTCAAATAAATCAAACTTGAAATGCTTTCAAATAGAAAACCAAACACCCAAAATGGACATTCAAGTAAACTAAAATAATCCAAAATAGCTTTTAAAAAAAAGTCTCAATAGTTCAAAGGAGTCTTGTCCAATCTGTTTAAATTTGGGCGAGGGGTGTTAAAATCTCCTTTGAACAAAAATAAGTGAAAGACACTGACAGGCCAAATGTCACGTAAATATATATATATATATATATATATAGGTTTTTTAAAAAACGTCCCAATTGTTCAAAAAATTCGTGTCCAACTCATTTAGGCTTAAAAGAGGAGTGTTAAAATCCCCTATAAACAAAAATAAGTAAAAGACACTTGAAGGCCGAATGTCACGTAAATATATATAGCCATACTCATTGATTTACATCATGCCAGCTTTACTCTTCCATCCATGATCCAACTAATGTTCTTAGGGCCTGTTTGGTTGCTTGGAAAGTTGAGAAAAGTAAAGTTAACATTCATGGGATTTTAATTCTGAGAAAAATTAATACTTTACTTTATTTTTTGATTTCTGAGAATATGATTCTAAAGAATATAAATACTTTCTTCTGTTTGGTTATATGTTGGAAAATATACTTGAATGTGAAAAAAAAAACCTATAAGCCCCTCAAAATATTCTTTATGAAATTCGATTCAAAATTTTGAGAAAATATGCTCAAGTCTAACTACACGAACAAGAACTTATTCACGTCATCTACTAGTACATTAACTATATGTATACCTATGTGTTTGTATGTTTAAATTTTTAATCCGTCAAAGATGATTTAATTTTGAGTTAGATTAATCAAATTTAAATTTTATTATGTAATAGACATGAGTTTTTGAGTGCCAAATTTATTTACAATCACTATGTTATTATCACAGGTTAAAACTACTTTATAGCTATCATAGTATTTTTTAAAAAATAATTTCTACAATATTTTGTTCAAGATTTATTTAAAAATTCTTTTTCTCATTTTTACTCCTAACATAATCCAAATCCTATCTTTTAATTTTATGTTGATTTTTTTTTTGAACGATTTTTTAAATTTTTACTTTTGTATTATTGGTTATTTGTAAATTAAAATTTCATTTTTTATTGATTAAATTTTTTTTTGATAAAGTGTATAGTTTTTATGTGGCCAAATCAAATATTTTGTCAATAATGTAAAACGATCATTAATCAAATTGTAAAAAATTTTAAAAATATATATAAATAAATTAGATTAAGAAAAAATAAATAAAATATGAATGATATGAAAACGATGATAAAAAAAAAGTTATGGAGAATAAAAAAATGAGTAAATATTAAAATCTTAAAAGTTGGGAATCACAACCTCCAAGGTGAGGAATCATAATCCAGGAAAGTTGTGTTTATTTTCCTTGAGTTCAAGATTCTTTTTCCTTTCCCAAAAGTAAACAAACAAAGGAATTTAAAAATTAGGAAAATGATTACTTTCCTATGCTAAACAAACACTTTAATTTAAAAACAAGGAATCAGATTACTTTCCGGCCTAGAATCTGTAGCAACCGAACAGGCCCATAAGGAAATGAAAAAATGCATGGAAAATATACTTTCAGTAATAACCATCTTATACCTACAGATATCACAATATCTATATAGAGGGTAGTTTTTCTCCCTTATTTTACACGTCTTATACACAATACATATCTTTCTACATTTCTCCCATAAATCCTAACTAACTCAAAATGTCAAAATTCTAATCCAGTTTTGCAAGTTTTAAGTCTTCTTGCCGGCCCCTCTAGATCATCGTTACCGGCCACCCGAATGTATCTTGAAGATTAATTTGACATGGTCACCGTGTATCTTCACTATTGATTACAATGATCAACAAATAGCAATGAGGGCATTTTATTGATAATTTCTACAAAACTTGAGAAAGTTTTTATAATCTTCGCATGTCTGACTGAGAAGCGTGTAATTTTTTTCCTTAAACCTCTGTAATCTTCACTTTTTTTGGATACTTAAAACTATTAAAAAATGGGGATGTGTGCCACCATACATTATCATGGGATAATCAAGGTCTACGGAAGTGTGGTGAATTTATTTATTTATTTATTTATTTTTTGGTAAAAGAAGTGTGGTGAAGTTGTACATAAATGAAAGATCATTTGAAGTCAACCATATTACTAATTAATTCGCCGTCTAGGGAAAAAAAATCCGAGTTTTGATATTTGTATTATTTATTTAAGATTGACTATTTTTTAGGGACAAGGAGAAAATTATTTAGAAACAAATTCCAATTGCTGAAATGTAGTTGAGTCCATTAAAAAATTTCATTGACCACTCAAACCAAATCATAATATATAGTTACGTTGGTTTAGTACGTGATTTAGTTCAGCAAAAGTAATTTTAGCTAGCTTGTTTATGGGGATGGAATAATTCATTAGATCTTATCTGAACCAATTATTAATTAATTAATGGAATGTAAGTCTTAAACAATAAAGAAAAAGAAAAAAAAAATAGAGAGTGACATTGAAACATTCATTACGTCAAATAACACATGTAGCGCACAAGAAAGAAATGCCTAATGATTCCTTTGCAATGGAAACAAATTACAAAACCCAACCCAAAAAGAAGAAAGAAAAGAATAAAAAACGCGAGTTGGCAACAAACAGCAAAATAACATCAACACTCCCCGAACCGGTATTTCTAGTGAATCTACACAGTAAAGTAAGAGACAAAAAAAAATTAGAAAGACGTAAAAGTAATTACCATCAATATTAGTAGTAATGATAATTACTTTATTCTTTCAATATTCATCTTTATACTAATTATTATATCACGTCCCTATCATTTAACTGCATAAACTCGTTGAAAATATTATTTTTCACACTTAAAAGATGAGAAAAAATATTAAAAATAGCGGAGCGAGATTTGGATGGGGACTGAAGTCAGGAGAGAGACTCCGACTTTGGTCCGACTTGGGTTGTTCAGGGAGGAGAACTATAACAACAAATATTGACACCTTCAAGAAAAGCACGAAGGTTACAATAATAATAGCAATCTCGTCGAACCCTCTCGCAACCGGCCCCACAGATAGAACCCGTCCTTTTACAGTTTCCCATACATCTTTTGTGCTGAGTTTTGCAGTCATCGCAACAGCAACCAGCGGAACATTACTTCACCTTCACAACGCATTCCAATCCGGCCACCACCGTCGCCGCCGCCGTACAATTATTGGTTGCCATCCAAAGGCACCGACTCCCACAATCGGGACTAGTATTACTATTTGTTTGCGCTGTAATTTGCTGATGATGAAGAAAAAGGAAAGCAGCCACAACCACCATTGCCATGGTTGCTGCATTATTCATTCTGAAATTGCAAGTCATTTTTTTTTTTGGGGGGGGAATTTCAGGCCTAAGAATTTTTCCTAGAGAACCAAAAAATTTTATGTAAACGAGAGTAACTAGTTTGATGTTCTTGATGGATAATAGTTTGAATGAAAACTAATAAACTTTGCACTCTTTTATAGGGGAAAAAAGAAAGGTGAGGGGGGAATATTACCTTGACGACCACTGAACTATTGTTAGGGAATATTACTCCCACAAAACTTGGATCCTGGGGCTAACTCCATGTGACATAGATTTAAGAACTAATTGTTGTATAGAATAACAGTTTTACTAACAAAAAGTAAAAGTTGATCGTAATCAGCTATGTATCACTTGATCCGGCAACAAATCATGCCGGATT